CCAATTAATTTTTGGAATGGAATGGTATTCCGCCCTTCGAATGCGATGTTGCGAGGCGCGTGGCTTTCCTTTAACCTTCTGTTGCCCATTTTAGAACCCTTAAGTTCCATTCATCAAGATCAGCCTCTAGATAAGAGCTCTGGAAACATAAAGGATGTGAAGGTAATTTGTAAATTATTTAGTTGCAGTCCGCCGCGTTAGCAACATGTGCTATGTATTTGTAACTAGTTGAAAGATATAGTTCGTAAAATTTGTTACTAGTAATGCACAGTTCGGTAAAAAAAAATCGAAGACATCACTAAATTTAGTTGACCAATATAATTATTAGACGTGAATTAGAAAGAAGCCAATCCACTTACTGCTGACAATATAAATTCCAAAACATTACCATAACAATTGCCTGGGGGAAGGAGTTGGGGGTATATGCTATAAGCAAAAAGTTTCCATCATGTCGTATGTAGGACAACATTCGAGTTTTTCTCTCAGCCTTTATCTTCCTCTCGGTTGCTCTCTCTACTTTATTTAGGTAGTATACTTTATACTAGTACATAAATATATTTAGGTAAAAATCGTACGCCATTCATGTGAATTTATGCGGGTAGAATAAAAATATTGAAAAAGATAAAGACATTCTGCTCATTCCTGAATTTAAAAAATGGTCGATGTTAGGTAAAGAGAAGAAATCTACCACTAGATGACGCCGAGTACGACGCCGTGTTTGCTATACTCAGTGGGGAAAAGACTTTCAAGGGCTGGTCCAAGAAGCAAGATAGTCTGCTTAGGTAAAGGGTTTACAAAAAGGTAAAAAGTGGCCACTACGAGTTACGTGAGATCTATGATCCTGTAATGGGAACTACTGTCAAACGCATCAAACTGCATCATTGTTAAAAAATCACAGTTGGGTACGATTGTTCAAGGTTTCTTTGAACAAAGTTAAGGTGACGGTGCACTTAAGTTAGCAAAAAGTGTACGACAAATTAAGCAATAGAAAACGTTTTCCGTTTTTGCATAGCCTGATATAAACACTCGAGGGGTTGGGAGAATTCGAGACAGTTATGCGAACCCGAGACGAAGTCGACGGTTTGCATAACCGTCGAGAATTCTCCCAACCCCTCGAGTGTTTATATCAGGCTATGCAAACACAGGAAAAAAAGTTTTCTATTGCTTTTATAAAATAACTTTCCCGAGAAAAACGCAAAACTCTTTGTTATGGCTCTGATTAAAAGAGAAATTCTTACCAGTCGCAAAGTCGTGTACACGAAGGCTTGCAGCGTAATCAGTTCTTGTTTTGCAAAAAGATGCTTTCCAAAATACAAATTTTTCTCGCTTAAAATGTCAGCTTAAGCGAAAACAAATTTGACACAGCTTGTTTTTAAAGATGTTTCAAGTTTCAGCCGACGAAGGAATGGGTAAATAAAGTAACCTGTCGAGTTTTGAACTCAAAAACTTTTTCATATTTGTGCTTGCGTGATCAGCGCGCGGAAAGAACATCTTGACGTCACAACCATGTTTACATACTCTCATGCAAACACTCCTCTCGGCCAATCAGAGCGCGCGTACTTTCTTAGTTATCTTATAACATACAGCGGTCTTTCCCGAAACATGATAAAAAAAAACTCAACGTAATGATCATGAAACAACCACAGAAAATGAGGCCAATCTTCCAAAATAAAGAACCACTTCTACCTATAGAGGCAGGTAAGGTGCAAGAACGCATGCCCGTTACAGTTGGTACAAACACTTACAAGTATACTATGTCTGTTATTGACATATTTAGCAGGTTTGTGTTTCTGAGGCCTCTTAGGTCAAAAGAATCGGATTCCGCTGAAGTAGCAGAAAATCTTCAGCGTATCTATTACGAGCATGGACCCCCTGAAATCCTTTAGAGCGACCAAGGCACAGAATTCAAAAGCGTTGTAAAGACCCTTTGGGAAAATCTAAACGTACGGATAATTAAAAGCTCGGCTTACAGTCCCCAGACTCAAGGGAATGACGAACGATCTCATCGTACTTGGAAGGAAAATTAAAAGTAAGATATGCTTAACTGTGATGGAGGGTTGAACTGGGTAGAATGCCTACCAAATAGTTCCCTGGGGATGCAATCACCCTTTGAAGTATACTATGGAAGACAGCCTAACAGATTTGGAAATAAACTGTCTCTTAGCAAAGCCCAAATCTTTGATGTTCTGGAAGAGGGCGAAAACAACTTTAAGTTGAGATCTCCTAAAAAGAAACACTAAAAGAATGGACAAAAGAAAGAAATTTACTTAGAGATGAGGACTTTAAGGCATCAACGAACGCCTCCGAAAAAATGATGAATCGAAAACTTAAAAGAAATCCTCCATCCTTATATAATGTTGTAGAAACTGTCTTAGTTCGCGTTCGGAAAATAAAAACATCTGTGAAAGGCAAGAGAACGACTTTGATGGGTACTTTTGAAGGATTAATTTTCCTAACTTTTTTTCATTGAATAATATTTACTTTTAAAGCCAGTTAAAGTGAAGTCCTAAATTTATGTCATTAAAGATTCACGAAGAATGTGAGCGAGTGAAAATCATTAGAGAAACGTTTATTAATTTTGTGCATTTTGTTTGCTCCATGGTCTCAGGATACCATTCCATTCCAAAAATTAATTGAGGATCATTTCGGGGTCGACGCGATCAAAAATGGGGATTATTTCGGGGGGCTGTGCAGATCGTTATGCTTAGAGTATCTTCAAACATGGCATATCATAGTTTCTAATCTTTCTTAAGCTTTAGCATCAATAGTGAAAGAAAGCGTCGAAAGTTTCAGTTACTACCCCTTTTGAGTAGAAACGTAGAGCTTTCTTCGTTTCGTTTTCGTTTTCCTCTGTAATGGTAAACACTGATTCGAGGGTGTAAAATGTCAGCTACAGTAAATCACGTTACAATAATTCACGCTGTTTAAACACCATGAAGTCTTTTCCTACCTTCAAAATCGTCAACAGTAAGATATTCTTGTATTTTCAAAAGTTCTTACTAGGAAACTTTGGGAAAACACCTCGTTCACGACAGCGATTTTGTTTTGCTTTTTATTTCATACATTTCTGAGCGATTCTGTGTTTTTTTTTAATTAGTCAACCTGAGTGAAAATATGGTTTGCGCCTTTATTCAACCAATCAGAAAAGCGAAACGGCTTTTTCACGTGTGAGTAGTACGTTTCGACCAATCACACCGCACCCACCAAAAGCAACCGTGTTTTCGGTCGCTTTGTGTTTTCATTAAAGGTTTTATTCTGGCAGCTTTGTCAAAAAGTTAAAACGTTTAGATTTTTCGTTTGGATAATATCTCAAGAAAATTGCCAGAAGAAGTTAAATAATGGCTGAAGGAGAAAGACTTCGCTTTCCAGCTTTGCAGAAATCTGTTAACCAGTTTAATCGAGATGAGATGTTGGCTTGCTCTCCGAGTTTCTGAAATCCAAGCAAGAAAAGAGAAACATAGAAGAGATACAACCACAGGAACTCAATGATTTTCTGAGTGAGTTTATAGTTACTGTTACTGTTTATAGTTACTGTTTCTACTGTAGCAGGGAGCTAGAAACGCATCAAGCGAGTTCTCGACCCATATGACAAGGACAGCCCGCCTGCAGCCTGTACCATTCCAGTGACAATTTCTGTCAAAGCATTTCTATTGATAGTACTATTCGGTATTTTAGGGGTCATTTAATGATGTAATCATCGTAGACGGTCTTGAGTCAGGAAATTGTATTTCATTTTTGATCATTTTTTAGTCGATATTTCGACTCACATTAGCGCCAACGAATGATGTATTTTTTAGGGCATTCGGTTTGAGCTGGCCCTAGTTTCTTAAATACGCTGGTCATTTTTTCTAAATAAAGAGAAGTTTTCCTAAATATAGAGAAGAAATGATCACTCAGTATGTATGAAATAAATGAATTACTTCATGGGCAGGGCGCTTGTACGGGATTTTCACACTCGTGCGAAAATCCCTTACGTGCGCCCTGCCCATGAAGTAATCTCTATATATTCACCGCCTAGAGCAGTGAATATAACGTCATACTCCAAGATAGCGAACCAATCAGATTGCTCGAATCACCAAGTGTGTATATACTAAAAGACATTATGATATGCAGACTATTTCTAAGAGTAATGAACACTTGTATTTGAGATTGTTATGTAAGGTAATCCAAGACAGTCTGGATTCTGGATTCCATGCTGTCTATTCCGGATCCCAAGCTCTAGCGATAACATTATTAAATGAACTGACCAAACCTCCACTAGAAAAAATGTCCAGGATCCAGATTCCGGATTAGCTTTACGTGGATGAAAATAACAAAATACTTAATTCTCAAACTGCCTCGATGCAATATTTTTCGGCGTTTTACTTGTGAAAAAGTGTGGGAATTTGAAAGAATTTAAGCAATAGCGGCACATTACTTCTCATCAAACTGTAGCTCCTGTGTAATGTATTTTGAACAGCAAATAGAGGAGATCAGGAGGGACAATCATTTTAGATTAAGGCTGCGCATCAAAGTGTCTCTTCTCCGTTCTCCGCGCGGCTTTGCAAGTCCTCTGCCTCAATACACGTACTGATGATCTCTCGAGCTGCGCAGGTTGCATAGCTTATTTGATGGCAGTCCTCATTCGAAAGGAGAAAAGCTAATCGAGGATTTTTTGAAAAGGAAGAGGATTTATGAAAACTTACCTGAGAGTCTACGAAAGTTGTGTTACCGATACTGGAATCTAATGTTCCATCTGGTAAAACAAATCTACCGTCCCCTCCTTCAATGGATAATCCAACAAGTTTAGTTGGGGTATGACGTCCTAATGTCATGGACAATTCTGCAGTCTTGATCCGCGTCACTTCTTCATCTACAACTTTCATTGCTAATACGGCATCTGCAATAATGTTGATGATCCTGAAGGATTCGTTCACAAGACCTTTGCCCTAAAGAAAGAAGTGCCCGTTTATCAATTACTACTTCATTTTTAGAAAGTTCAGGCTAGGCTTTTATAGATTGTACTAGTAAAAGTAGCATATTATGCCAGTAGCACTGCTCTTTTTTTGGAAAAATACATTTTCTTTAATCAGAAGCCGTTTATTCTTGTTAGCTATAATATATGTCCTTTTTCGTGTCCGTTTATGGTGGTTTTTCGCGTCTGGCAATTGTGGCTGGTCCTGGCCTGTCATTTCTCTGACAGAACTGTAAGTTTTCACTCGAATCGGCTGGCATAGCTGACGCAATTTTGCAGCCTTGCCTATGAGAGGTATTGGGACTGACATGGTTTGCCATGGGACTTCCGTTCCCGTACACCCTAGTCCCAGGCCCCCATTTCCGGGCTCAGTAAACTGCAAATAATAGTAAAACATCGAGCAACGTCAGCGTATAATTGGGATTTGGGAATCAACGTGCCTGTCAAAACCCAAAAATGTTCCGATAATGATCAAAATATGAGAATTATGGTAGCAGTGCAACGTTTTAAAAAATGGGAAAAATTATGCTAGTTTTCTCAAATTATGCTAAAAATTATGCTAGCACAATCTATAAAAGCCTAGTTCAGGCCCGATTCACCAACTCATGTCCAGAAATGTACCTAATGGCAAAAATGGCGAAAATTCACCACGTTTGGCAAATAAGTTGTAACAAAGCCAAGGGTTCCCATTAAGAGTTGCGATTTTGATGAAAATGGCATAATTGGCGAAAATGGCGAATTTGTTATTGGCGATGAATATGGCAAGCATGCGCCAAAGTCTTAATAAAATTTGAGATGGTAAAGGAGCCCTTTGAAAGCGGTGATTTTGACGAAAATGGTGATGTTGACCAAAATAGCCAAAAATCCCCAAGACTTCCCTGGAAGTCAAATGAGAAGGCAAAAGGTCCCCCCCTTAAAGGTGGCGAATATTGCGAAAATGGCAAGAAATCGCAACGGCAATTTTGAAGGAGATGGCAAATTTGGCGAAAATGGCTGAAATTCGAGAAAGAAGTCACGAAATTGACGAGTTTGGCGAAAATGGTCAAAGGGTGAATCTCTCGAAAAAATTACCTGAGGGTTGGCGAAAGTTTAAATGATATTACAGAAGGCACTCCTCGTATAGTCGCGAAGTTGACAAAAATTGAAAATCTCACGAAAATGGGAAATTTGGCCTCAATTATCCATGGGGTTGCAAAATATTCAAATTAGATCACCATTTTCGAGAACTTCACCAAAATCGCTTTTGTGGCGGCAGTACTAGAAAACGATAATTTTGAGCTAAATTTTTCTGGCATCGATACGTTCCCATTTTCCTTTCACTGGACGAAAAAACGGATTTACCTCTATAGCAAATCTGGAGCAAATCATCTGCAAATGCCACATTTGCTTAATTTTGCTCAATTTTGCCACATGACATAGGACCAACTTTGCCATAATTTTGCATTAGTGGCAAAGGTGGTAAATGCCGAATTTGCCTCAAATTTGCCCCGTGTGTAAAAACAAGGATAACCTTTACTTTATCAAGGCATTTACAGGGGTGTCAAACTTGATAGCAAAACTGACATTTGTCAGGTTTTTGCCCAAATGGGCAAAAGCGATCGAAGATGAATTTTTGAATGCTTTTGCTCTCTATAGCAAATTCGGTCAAAGTAGTAATTTGCCACATTTTTGCTCAATGTAGCAAAAGTGACCAAAACTCATTTTTCAACAGTTTTACCCAGGATAGTAAATCTGAGCAAAAATTCACTTTATTTGTGTATCACCCAGTGTAGTAAATGAGGTCAAATTATCACTTCTTCCGTATCTTTGCTCAGTGTGGCAAATATGATCAAAATAGGCGTTTGCCACTGTTTTGCTCAGGGTAGCAGATTTGGCCAAATACCACTTTATTCTCAATTTTGCTCAGGATGGCAGATATGATCAAAACAGTAGTTTCCCATACTTTTCCCCATTGTAGGAAAGTTGATCAAATATCAGTTCTTCTGCATCTTTGCTCAGGATGGCAAATATTGCCATGATAGCAGTTTTCCATACTTTAAGTAAGGTAAACAAAGTTGATTAAAATATCACTTTTTTACACTTTCACTCAAGATAGCAAATTTGATCAAAACATCATTATCCACATGTTTCTTATTTTTATTTGGTACCATAAATGACTGACAAACAATTTAGACACCAAACAAAATTTCAAGAATAAAATGACTTTATTATCCTTAATATACACTGTACAATAAAAAGCAAGATAAATTAAAAGAAAGTTCCATTGGCCTCTGCAGGGCACTGAATGTACCACAAAATATATGCCTTTAAAGAAAAGGCACATAAAATGTGAAACTATCTAAATTCATAAGTGTATAAGAATGTACATTGGGTTTGAAAGTGCAAGTCAACACTAGCTGGTTCATAATTATCTAAGGTTGGTACAGGTAAAACGTAACTCCATTTGAGTGGTATACTTCACATATACTCTTTCTAGATTCAATTGATACTATTGGGAAATGGTTGTATGATGACAACACGTACACATCACTCCCAATGTAGATGTGACATCCTTACTAATGGACAGAACATCAACCACAGGAAATAAAATTAGCCTCAAATTATTATGATAAGCGATATTCCTCTAATTATTATTTATAAGAACTTGTTTTCATCTGACAAATATTATCCACTACCCAAAATAGGCAGTGAATAATATTATATATATTGTACCTAGTGCTATTCACTTACCCCAAGGGGAGATACATCTGTATCATTTGATTTTTAACCAAATCAGTTATATAAAAATATTTCTTGTAAATAAAATGAGTTACTATGCGAAAGCTCTGTGCATTTCTATGATTTGGGTACGACTTTGATATATTTTTACCCAGCAGTAAACACTTATAAGGTTAATTTTGTCACCTTTTTAGCATGTACATCTATCCACTGATTTGGTTAAATACTTGTATTATTATTATTATTATTATTATCATTATTATTATTATAATATCACTGTAAATAATATGATTTGGTGAAATTCTTGTATTATTATATGACCATAAATAGTTTATTACATTTATTTTTTTTACTAGAATCAAATTATTTGCTAAAAATTTGAGCAATTTTTTTCTGATTCACATGATCAGCTGTTTTGCTTGCAGTATTGGACTGAGTAAATATCCAAATTATCCAAACACAATCTATACACTATGAAAGCTCTGTAGAACTTCTTTAATTCATCATCATTATTATTGTTATTGGCATGCATTATTTTGATTAAAATTTAAGCCATGCTTATCAAAAAACTGTTATCACACACGGTATTTTTTTTGCATAAAACATAACTGCACTCTTTTTTCATAAAATATGCCAAGAACAAAATAGGATCATGGCATTTGGAGTCAAGTAATTACTCTACTATGGGGTGTATTGGCTAGATTTAGTCCTCGGAGTGGCACTTTTTAAGGCAGTGCTTAGGGTAGCCCTAGGATCTGTCACCACTGTGGAAAGTGGATGCAGATGTATCTCCAATTACACATGTTGGGTGAATGGACACGACGACTGAAAAGACAGCTGCATTTACAGGCTACTAGATGGAAGGTTTTTAAAATTCAGTAAAGTTGCCAAACTACAGAGTGATTCGGTGCAAACTAACAAGGACAGCTCTGCAAAGATGGCACATTTTGCAGACATTTGTCTGGTAAGGGAAAGTTTGTGGCTCCACCATACCATACAAAGGTCATTGAGATTATGTGACTTTGTGTCAACACTTTATTTCAAATCGGACTCATCACAAACAGCGTAAGAACCTAGCCAATCACAAAACGCTGACATACATGCATGTCTTTGTGACCCTGTGGGATTCAAACATGATATTGTGCACTAATTCTCAGACGGCATGCTCTATACAGAAGGTTTAGAGTGTCTGCAACACAGGCAAGATCTTCATTGGATTGTGACAAATAACTTTGAGATTTGGTAATTTACCTTGTTTAAACGTGGCTCCTTCCCATGGGTGTCAAAGGATATTCACTTACTACATTGTAGGTCTTCATCAAAACTCAAAAAATTGTGCAATTGTCTACTGAGTAAATATTGTTCTAGGAACTTAACTGAAAAGGAACTGAATCATGATGCATGTCAACTTCAACTTGAGTGTTATTATTATTTTGTACATTTTTATCTAAAATGTCGTCTTCTTTTCTCAATGTTCTTCAAAAAATTATCTGTGTTATGCTTATGATCAAGTTCCTTTTTCTATTGTAAGTGGTGGGTGCCAGAGCAAACTCAAGATGGTGCTCCTTGGTTTGATGCTGGTCTCACTGTGTGCTCTATTACCATTATTGGCTTTGACACCATGCAACTTTGCGGTCCAACTGGGCCATTAAACCATTCACCTCAATGCTCTGCCAGGAAAGTGGCCTTACACAGAGATTTTCCCTGTTTGGGAGGTCCTCATCTGAACCTGAAGAACTACCTTCATGCCACTCTGATACAGCTGTTTCAGACAAAGACTCCTCTGATGACATATGCAACAGACATACATGCAAGGTACTTGTCCTTGTCTGACTAACTGATGCTAGTTGACTCACTCAGAGCATATTGGCCCTTTAATTTTTTTTCTGAAAGAAAAATGAAGAGCCATGATTTAGCAGCCAACAAGTAACCCACAGTTGGTAAACAAGCATGTACTGCTCATACTCAGTGTAAATGATTGGGTTGCAGAACAATGATATGATGCTAAAAGCTGAAAACACTCTCTTAATCAAAGGAACAGTTTGAAGATATTTGTGAGAAAAATTTCTCCCTGCATTTTATTCCTACTAACATTTTCATTAAATATATAATATGTTTTTTGGAACAGGTGTTAAAGTAGAGAGCAGAAATGCCTCTTTCTGTTGAATCTGCATTTGTTTCATTAAGACTCTTTTAAGTGTAAATAAAAACTGAAATAAATTAATTCCCCTGTCATTCAAGAGCAGAACTGATAGTGTCCCACAGGTCACCAGGCTCTAACAGAGCACAGCCACGACTCAACTGTACACATAAACCGTAAAACCGGTCAGAACCTGAGAAACGTAACATTAAGGTAACCCACATGTTGCTTAGAACAATAATTAATAAATTGTGGTTATTTGGCATTATAAAGCCAAAGCATTTACTCGCAAAATAAACTAACAAAGATCCCTCAACATCATTGAGCTGTACAAAAGATATAAATAATGAGGTATTGTCATTTATAATGTGGAACAGTAATACAGTGGTCACTTGGAATGACACTTCAAGATCTGGAAAGTGCCGTCATTCGCAAAATGAGCCAAAATTAAGATCTCACAATATCACTGAACCATATGTAAAAACCATGAGAGTTTTGGATGGTACAATTTATGAAAGAAGAATCACTTGTCATTTAAATGTGGAACAATAATACGGTGGTCACTCAGAAGGACACATAGGCTTCAAGATCTGGCATACGCCGTCACTCGCAAAATGAACCAAAATTAAGATCTCACAATATCACTGAACCATATGTGTAAACAATAAGAGTTTTGGATGGTACAATTTAGGAAAGAAGAATCACTTGTCACTTAAATGTGGAACAATAATACGGTGGTCACTCGGATGGACACATAGGCTTCAAGATCTGGCATATGCCGTCACTCGCAAAATGAGCCAAAATTAAGATCTCACAATATCACTGAACCATATGTATAAACCATAAGAGTTTTGGATGGTACAATTTATGAAAGAAAAATCACTTGTCATTTAAATGTGGAACAATAATACGGTGGTCACTCAGAATGACACATCAGCTTCACTCGCAAAATGAAAAAAATGCCGTCACTCGCAAAATGAACCAAAATTAAGATCTCACAATATCACCTAACCATATGTATAAACCATAAGAATTTTGGATGGTACAATTTATGAAAGAAAAATCACTTGTCATTTAAATGTGGAACAATAATATGGTGCTCACTCAGAATGATACATAGGCTTCAAGATCTGGCATATGCTGTCACTCGCAAAATGAACCAAAATTAAGAACTCACAATATCACTAAACTATATGTATAAACCATAAGAGTTTTGGATGGTACAATTTATGAAAGAAGAATCACTTGTCATTTAAATGTGGAACAATAATACGGTGGTCACTCAGAGGGACACATAGGCTTCAAGATCTGGCATACGCCGTCACTCGCAAAATGAACCAAAATTAAGATCTCACAATATCACTGAACCATATGTATAAACCATAAGAGTTTTGGATGATACAATTTATGAAAGAAGAATCACTTGTCATTTAAATGTGGAACAATAATACAGTGGTCACTAAGAATGACACATACTGTAGGCTTCAAGATCTGGCAAGTGCTGTCACTCACAAAATGAACCAAAATTAAGATCTCACAGTATCACTCAACCATATGTATAAACCATAAGAGTTTTGGATGGTACAATTTATGAAATAAGAATCACTTGTCACTTAAATGTGGAACAATAATACAATGGTCACTCAGAATGACACATATGCTTCAAGATCTGGCAAACTTATGCCGTCACTTGCAAAATGAACCAAATTAAGATTTCACAATATCACTGAACCATAATTATGTATAGATGTAAAACAAGAGTTTTTGACTGTAAAAATTTCAAAAGGAAAATCATTTGTCATTTGAAATGTAGTAGAATATTAAATAATTAATTATAGTGACCACTGCTTTGTCAAGTGCTGTCACCTGAAAAGTACAGTAACCCCAAAGATCTAACATATTAACTCAGCTGTACAACAAGCCAAATTACTGAATTATGGACATGCTAAAGTCACATCACCGACTTATATTATTGTAAAAGAAATGTTTGCCTGCAAGCTCAAGATCTGGCTAGTTAAGATTATGCCATTAATGAAGACGATGCCCAACAAAGATTTCAGTTATTTCTGCAGTAAACAAAAATGAATCAGTCAATGGCATATCTGTGCATGCATCTTAAATTTCAAGATTTATCTTTGAGGTTTTAAGCTTACGCAAAGTTATTAGAAAACCAAAGTAAGTAAACGAACCACGATATCAAGAAGAACATACCTTTCTGCAATCCAGCTGAGTTGATGACTTGGAAACAGGCTTTATGTGAAGAATATCGCAACTGATCCCTGTCTCTCGAAAATAACAAAGGTATAAATCGTAATAGAACAGCTGAATAGAAAGACAGGCTTTCTATTATCCGAAAATAACAAAACTACTCGTTTTGCAACGCTGTATCGCTTGTGAAGTGCGCGTGAATTTTAACTGTTCAACGAAAGTTTATTTTACACTATTCTATTGGTTCAAAAGCCGCACGTGACAATGTAAATCAAATCGCGCATGTGCCAAAGTCACGTGGAAGCCTGGGAAACAACAAACATGGCGGCTGATCTTGCGACGGAGTGCATTCAGGACTACATTCACCCGGACGATGAAACTCTGCAATCTACTATTGAAATGACTCCTGGGTTCAAACCTTTCACATATTGTGCATTTTGTTCTCCCAAATTCCGAGACTTCTTGTGATATTTTTTTTTTCCGAGCCACCGACCCAATATCAGGAAACGCATTCGACGCTAAACGAGAAAAAAGGGGGGATGGCCTTACCCGAAATAACCAGCTGCAGCAAGTAATATGATAAACTTTGAGAATAATGTGATAGTGATTGAAACGGGGCGATGGAAAATCAAAACTTGCGTGAAATAACACTATGAAGTTTGGTAAATGCGCAAACGTTGGTTAAAGTGGTCGTAAAGATAGTTCTTTGATCATATTTTGCTTAAATTTACGCCTCTAGTAACCATAAATTTACACAGTAACTTTGCTATGCCAGAAAATACCAAGCAAACATTCATTTTTGACGTTCGATTTTTACACAGAGAACAAAATGGCGGCAAATTTGAATCTAAACACCAAATTTACTATGGGGAGCAAAAGTGAAACAAAATATCTGTAAACTTGATATTTACTCCACATTTACGCCACCCTTGCAGAAAAGTAAACTTTCACTTTCGAACAAAATTTGCACCAAGAACAAATAAGTAGCAACATTAGTACCCTAAATTTACAATAGATTTGCTCAACTAGCAAACTTAGGCAAATCCGTTTTTTCGTCCAGTGTTTAGGTATGGGGTCCCACTGCTAACGCGCCTCGCACCCGCGGACGCCCCACTATCAACCAGACTCCATTCAGGGATATCTCTATTCAGGTTACACTTGCCTTGATCCCAAGGGCGTCCCCTGAATAGAGGTTCCACTGTACTTGTTTTTAAGTTTACGTTAGGTTACGTTTACGACAACCAACGATAATCACCGACAATCGAGCACCAAGAAATGGATTTAATTCGCTGTAATAATAAATCATTAAGTTACAACAGATGAGTGAAAAAAACTTGAGCAAGATAGCGATCTTACAAGAACAACCTTTCAATCATAGGCCCCTGATCATGTGTATAACAGCCACAGGATACCAGTCAAGCATCAACACTATCATTACATTTGTTAGGGAATTGCACTGAGATTACCCACGTGCATGCGCCAACTAGTAGAGGACTACGGAAATAAATACCTGTTCTTGAAGGCTGGACCCAAATTTTCCTGATGCGATCACTGATGAACTCTTCAGTGCGTTGTTGAGGCATGAGCCTAAGTTTTCTGCTGAAAGGGTGATCAGCGGTACGTTGTCCATGTGCTTCTGCTGCGGAGCATTCCAGAGCAGTGACGCCATGGAGTCAATAGCAGGTAGGGCGAAATCCTGACAAACGGGAACGTATAGAGAAAGAAATGTTACTGCCAGTTTTCTGACGGGCTGCTAACAAATTACCGCTTCCACGATCTTGCGAATTTTTGTGGATTGTTCACCTGGAAATGCACCCTCCGAGCAGAGCGCTTCTTTCGCTTGTTTGATTTTGTCGTACATAAAACGAGTCATTCTCCACCTCAGTACCCTTCTTTCTTGCGTATGACAACGTCACGGAGTCAAAAGAGTGAGGTCTGGGGTCAAGAATGAAATCGAGTAAGATCTTTGTGGGACAGGGCTGAATAACGTACTATGCATGTCCGTGACATCACTTGTTTACCAAGAATAGCCCGTGTTCGAAGCACTCGTGCGAAGTGAAATTCCTGCATCTGAGACTATCTTTGATCATCTGTTAAGCTCATATTTGTGAACGCCAACAAGGGAGAAATTCTACGAATACATTAGCAATGCAACTCGTGGAGAGAAATGTTACGTAAACCTGAGGGAAATGTTTTCGACCGTCCAGGCGAGGTTTTTCATTTGTTTTGATCGTCAGTAAGTTTGTAGAAAGATGACTTAGAAATTAAGAAAGAGCAATGTGCTGGAGTTTGGGCGACTTTTCTTCGATGGTAAGTAAACGATTTACTTAAACATTACTTTATTGTGGTTAAGGAGGGGCAAATCTTTGTAATGTGACCGAGCGATCAGACTGAGCGATACTATGCCAGTTGCTGACCGTTTCTTGGTGGCGAGAAAATCAAAGCCGGCTTTGAGCGCGATGATACCATCAGACAGAAGAAGTCATGAAAGTCATAAAACTTAGGTACGAATCTTAGTGCGATCAAAGAAGCTTTATCTTTAGCGGGCTTAGAAGTGCTGGTCGAGCTGTAGCCGAATCAGTATTTATTCTCTAAAGTTTGTTAAGAATTTAATTAATTTTGCACCTATAAGCTTATTCATGAATAAACTTTTAAACCTTAAAGCTGGTGAGGTTTTGAGAAACAGTCACAAGTTGGATCAGCTCTATGTGAGTTTTCGTATTAACTATAAGTTTTCCATTTATAACAGGTCTGAATGAAGCAGAAGAATCAAGGAATGAAGATGTAGACTTTAAAGAGTACTTCTCCCTTTCAATTCATTGATATTTTTTACCAGCAGGCATCGACTGTATTTCTTTCTCTTTCTTTCTCTGTATTTCTTTCTCTTGCCTGTTGTCATACACAAAAATTTATGATAGCTCTTGTGAGCTGAGCTAAGAATGAGTCATAAAGGGAACAAGTTTGGAAGAAAGAAGAGAATTCGAAACCTCAGTGATTGTTTTGTGTTCTTACAGTTCTTATAGTGAAACCTAGCGAGACGTAACAAGAGAAATAACTAAAAAGCGATCATTCAAGGAAAAATGAAGATAAATATCAAAATGTACCTTTAATACTGACACTGATAAGAGATTTCCCGGACGATTTCTTAGAAGTGATAACATTTTGATAGTCTGTCTTTCATTTCTGTTTACGCTTGAACATACACATTCGATTCGAATGAAAGAACTCTTCTCGGCTTCGTCGTTGCATCTTCTTTTGATCATAGCAAAAAACGGAAGAAAAATTACAAAGGTGGAAACGAGAATTCAATAAAGTATGAAATAATCTACCTTTAGTCTAAATGGGGGCCTTGAATATTTGGAAACCATTTTAAAAATCGGGAAAATGTGAGGATGTTTTGAAAATCCTTTTGCAAACGATACCATTATAGCAGGGACGCTTCGTTCCTGCGTCTTCTTTTATTCATAGAAAAAAGTAGAAGAAAAATTACATGGGTAGAAACGAGAATTCAATAAAGTATGAAATAATCTACCTTTAGTTAAAATGGGAGCCTTGAATATTCGTAATCCACCTTAAAAATCGGGAAAATGAGAGGATGTTTTGAGAATCCTTTTCCAAACGATACTATTATTGCAAGGACGCTTCGTTCGTGCGTCTTCTGTTGTTCATAGAAAAAAGTAGAAGAAAAATTACAAGGGTAGAAACGAGAATTGAATAAAGTATGAAATAATCTACCTTTAGTTTAAATGAGAACCTTAAATATTCAGAATCCACATTAAAAATCAGGAAAATGTGAGGATGTTTGGAAAATCCCTTTGAAAACGATACTAGTTTAGATCCCAGACCTCTCCCGTCACTGCACATGCGCAGACGTTGTTCAGCTCGGTCTCTTTGTGGAGGATGCGTTGCAAGTTGCTAGGATACAGAACCCAGGCCTAATAGCCGAGCGTCTGGTACTGCGGGCTCAGTTACGATCATCGATATATTAATACAAGAATGCTCGCGGTCGAAAAACCTGTTTGACGAGAACAGATAAGATTGACCAGTTCAGTTCGGGCTAAGGTGACTTCAAAGGTTTGACGCGATTCAGTCAGAGCCTCCTTTTCTCCTTCTCGATCAAGGAGAAGACAAAAGGAGGCTCTGCTCACAGATTGCTGGAAAAGTTGAGAACAACGCAATGAAAATTCAGGGGGAAACCGAATAAGGAATCCAAAATACATAGAGTAGCCATTGAGCACTTATTACTTCTGAACATGAAGTTGTTCATGGTAGAAAAAGGCTCGAAGGATTAGGGAGTGGCGCCTGTCATTCAAACGTTTTAGAGACTGTGCATGATGTAACGAAATAATAGCAAAAGTTATAAAAACATCCTTTCCTGCCCTGTTTTAGTAGGACGATTTTGAGGACTTCATGTGTAAATACACCTTACCAGAGATTTTACAGATGTTGTTTCAGTGTCCTGAATGGCTAAGCCAATCACAGAAGAGGACTGCAGCAGGTCTGGCAGACTCTTAACTTGCAATGCGGCAATTTTCTCGACAATCAGTTCCTGAACCTATGATAAGTAACAAAACTGATTACACTTTAACACGAATCATTAGACCCTTTCATGGTGTCTTTAAGTTCAGGTGAACACCAGTAAGCGAATGTCCATCGACACTGTTGGAAATAGCACCGTAAATATAACTAATAAACTTTCCAAGTATAAAGGTGTTGGCAGCTTAACTGATTGATATCAAGGCGTTCTTCCCAGCCGTGCTGACGAATTTGCATTAGTTAGCCCCAGAAAAAAGTTTAAAAAACCGTGTAAGGGTCTATTTCCACGAAACTACTTGGCAACACCGTGGCTCCAACTGGATGAATAGCAAATTGCTTAAGATCGAGTTAGCCTTAACAGTAGTCCTTTTCTCGCTACAACAGTAATATCCTTTCTGGCATAGCGGTTTTAATTCAAAGAAACTCCCAAGTGCCACATGAATTTCAACCAATGGGGACATTAATTATTTGGAAAGTTTCTAAACGTCGGTTCCGCTATTTTTCAGTTTTGAGCGGATCCTTATAAACGCTATTTTTTTACAATATCACCTTCGTTTTTTTCTCTGTACTGAGGGACGAATCCCGCGAAATCGCTTCTAGAATTGTATTTGATATTTGTGCTGCCTTGTTCAGATCGCCAGCTTCGATCACTTGATTAAAAAAGCTATCATTAGATGTCAATACACTGGTAAAGTTCGCTGGGCTCAAGGACTGCGGTGGTTCAACCTGCAAAAACAACAAACGAATCACGAGGCCTTAGACTGTTGAAAGGTTTCTAGTTGCTGGGGAAATATGGCGAGGAGAAAGCGTGACTGAGTAAAAGCAAATTTGTAAGGGGCAGGGGGCGAGGCAATGGAAGGGGAGGGAGATCCTCTCGCATTCTTTGCCTTCTCTACACCATTTTCGCGAAGAGCTTGTTCTTATTTCTTTCCATAGCCCACAGATGACTTAGTATTTTACCGTGTCAGTTTCACTCCCAGTATCTAACACCGATATTAAGAAAAATATCAAATTTCTTTGTACAGACGGTCAGATGTCCCCAATCCGGATTCCGTGAAATTTTTTTGCTTAAGGAATCTGGAATCTTTAGCCCGGGACCAGGCTTCGCTGGGGAAAAATTGGAAAAGGAGTGAAACAGCACAAAAAATCGGCGGTAGACTGGGGAGGGGAAGGGGGAGGCGGAACCTGAGAAAATGCCTTTCATGGCGTCGATCCGCAATCCAGCAACATTGAAATGTCATTGAAATGTTCCCATCACGGATGTTTCTTATATCTCGCTTTTGTATAAAAAAATTTCGTTCGTCCGGATGAAATAGATTGTAAAGAGATCTACTTCAATTCGATCGCCAAATGAAGTAACGGCTTCGGCAAAGCGACATAAAGCCTTTTTCGGAGGAAAATACGCCATGTGCGAATGGTGAAGAATGGTGTGGTTAACGCCATTTCAGTGCACAAGGTTTAGCTGTAAGCAACATGCATTCTTTAAATACATCCACTGTTTTTTAGTGTTCACCACGCGTTTGGAGGGAGCATAATTATAATTTTGTGTCTTTTGAATGCCGGTTTTTAACTCAATCGTTTTGTCCATGTGACCGTAGGTGAAAGGATTTGTATTGCTTGCTCGAAATCCATGTTTTAAAACACAACGCTTTCCCGAATTTAAAGAACGTGTTGTTTCATCTGTCAACAGTATGGGAATCTGTCAAAGGCAAGTCTCCAGGCTCCGCCCCAGACTACCGCTCAGCTTGCTTTGTTCGCCGATTTTTTTCCGCATTTTTCTCAACTTCGGAGCATGTTCATAGCCTTGGAATCCGGAATACAGCTTAAGAAATCCAGAATTCCATCAACGATTGATGTCCGATTCCAAGTCCCACTGACAAAGAATCTGGAATTCATTACCTGGAATCCGGAATCCATTGAGCGGAATCCAGAATCTAAGACACTTGGATTACCTTGCATGCGGCGCATGTCGGACGCGCATGCTCATGTGCATGTTATAATGATGAGGCCTAACTTTAAAGGCCTAACTAGGCCGCAAGAACTTTCTATGACTCCTTGGGTGATATGGTATGGGCTTCTTTAAAATACCGCTGACTTCACCGTGAACGGTGTGCAGTGTGATTATTAACGGTTTCCAGTTAGTTTTTTAACGGGTACTTGATCGCTGTTAGGCAATAAACAGGATCAACTTGTTTGAAAGACAATTAGCTGAGACCTAGGGTTTGTTAACATGACAACTCAAATGCTTTGTTCAGGATTAGAGTGAACAAGACTGTGAACAACTCGACCCACGACTTGACTGTCTTAGGATTCATAACGAAAGGAGCTATGAACTCACCCGGACAGAAAGATTAACAGTCGGTGCAAAGGCTCCATATTTGTTAATTACAGTAGCAAGAAGCTCGACTTTGTAGTCATGTGATCGGTTTCCAGGAGGTAGCCATGAAGTAACGGTGTTGTTTACTCCGTAGTATACCAGAATGTACAGACCGTTGTCCAGTCGATATTGAAACTGGTACGTCAGAGGGGTAGCGTCACTGACCCAGTCGCTGCAGGTCAGGTTGAAATCGGTCTTTAATGAGATGCCGCTGAACGGAATGATCACGCACCTTCCTCCTGAAGGTGGCGTAGCAGTAACAATGTCATAAGCACTCAATCCCTGAATACCGTCCTTAGTTTTTACAGATAACACCAATCGATAGTCCTTTCTCCCATCCAACGAGTTTTCTTTTATGACAATGTCACTTGAGTTTAGCGGCGTAGTTGTGATGTTTTGCAATATATTCACCTTTCGCCATATTGGATTAGTATTTGAGGTGGACTTGTTCTGTTCATAGAGCGCCCATTTATAGGAGAATATTATGGAGCACTGAGAACCCTGGCACTGTGACTTGATACTCAACCTAACTGACGGACTTGTCTGAACTCCACAATTTAGAAGACAACTAAATATGAAAAAGAAATACACACATTGTAGGGTATGTTAATAATATTTGTCACAGTACAGCTGTAGTTTACACTTGTGACTCGGTATTGCGTTGATGCAACAGTGGGTGTGATAGATCATCTCGAGACGGGATTGACTCCATAAAAATCGTGCGAATAGTGACAGCTACAGGACTAAACTTTTTATTTTTATCACTGACTGTTATTACAAATTGGGACTAGATTTCGCCCCAGATTTCATTGTAGTTGCCCTTAGTTAGATTTATAAAAATCCACGGAGACCCTGAAACAGTCAACAGTGGCAGGATAATGGGAGCGAGTGAATCTGTCAACGTCGCTCTTTTTTTTCTCGCCGCCCCCTGAATGCACCCTTGAGTGTCCGAAAAGAAGAGGCTGAAACCACGCATTCATTGGCAATAAAAATTATAGACGTTATCATCTCAACTTACTTATACATGTTTTCTCCACCATTTTCATCACATCTACTGCCCGGCGTTTTGATAATCAGTGACAGCTAGAATTACGGGCACAACAAAAAAGATTAGGTTGAAAAATACTGTCTAAAAATGTACCTTAGCGAAATTCTAGGTGGTTCTCCATTCTGCAGTCTAATGACTTGAAATGCACTCGATGTTCGATAGTCTTTGGTGACGACCAACTTCATAATGTAAGTTTGATTCAGTAATAAGGGTTTGTTGGCGACTAAGATGAAGACACGTCCAAAACCTTTCTTTGCGAAGTATTGAACGGCTATACCACTAAGACTAGGCAACGGGAATGAATAATTGTTTCCTTTGATCTGGCCAAAATGCCAGGTGAAGTTCATTCCTGAATTATTTCCAGTTCCTATATCCGGATCGTAAGAAAGCGAGGCGTTCATCGTGATGTTTTCGCGAAGTCCTCGGATAACTTCGGCACCACCTTCAATAATCGCGACCAGTTCAGGTTTTTTTCTGCAGGCCTCTGCAAAAGAACCATTTGTTAAGTCGTCTTAAATTTTGGAATCTTTGATCTTTTCGGGCGAAACCTTCCCGTATATTCGAAGGCTTTTGGTAAGGAGGTACCCTCTGGGCCGTTATCATAATTTCACCTGGAGTTTTCTTTCTGAAGTGGTCGGGAGTAGTCTACAAAATAAGCGTTCTGAGTCAGGTGGATCAGAGTGGATCTTGTTGACCCACCGTCACGGTGACGTCATAGATAAAATAGGTCAATACTTAATGGAACCTCGGTTATGACGTCTAGGCCAAAAACAAAAGGCTGTATTGTCTTGCCCGGGCTTGCCCAAACCGTAAGTAATACGTCAATTTTCCGAATAATTATTTATTTTGTTGTGTAGTGTAGAATGATTTAGGCGAGTAGATTTTGAGTTCTACAGGACAACTATGAGTGTTTTTCTTTGCACTTTAATTCTCTTCTTATAACCTATCATTGTACCCTGATCCACCCTACTCAGAACGCTCATTTTGTAGACTACCGTCGGGTGACCTCTTTTAGCTTTTCATGTGACGTATCACTTTTTAAAATCATTATCTCCATTTTTACAAAATGCAAAAACGAAATGCAAACTCGAAAAAATTTCTGTGTGCATGATTTACGCGTCCTTTCGCAAATCTATTTTTGTTTTCCTTTGTCATATCGGCTTCAAGAATTTGATATATTATAAGTTCGATTTTACCATTGCCGGAAAAGTGACCACTCTATGTTACCAAAAAGACTGTTTTGACATTGATTCGAGATGCGTACCTCTCACCCATAGCACAAAACGCTGGCAGTCGTTTGAGTTAGGAGACGAGACATTATCCGATTTGTTCGACGGAAGACAGCAGTAATAATTTCCACAATCAGCGTACTGTGCGTCAAATACTGTCAAGACATCAGGGTTGTCGATCTCACGGCGCTCAATGCGATATTTTCCAACTTCGTTCGCTGCAAAATGATGAATAAATTATTCAATTTATATCTTATTCATCGAATGTTCTCACTAGACATGGTGGAGATTCTGTTTTGGCGGGAATAAATGCTCTAAAATGTGTCTAAAAATAAACTGGTTCGTAAAAAACGCCGTGACATAGGCCTAGTGTGGTTATGGGCTCCTGATTGTGCTAAATTTCTGCTTACTATATCCCATAATGGTAATCCAATCATATATATTAAATATATACAGATAAAATACACCAAAAATCACAATGTTAACGCGACAAAACGAGCAAGATTCGCAAAAAAGAAATAGAAGGAGAAAAAGATCTCGTTTGATCTTCATGTAAAAAATTATTCATGGTTTAGTTGACATTAAGATTAACGACTTTTTTTTTATTTTAGCAATGAGAATTGCGCTACAGTAGGAACAGCCATTGACGTAAGCTTCTTTAACCTCACTGTAAGAAAGAAGTGTTCTAGTTTTCTTTTTTCCCAAGAACTGCTGGAGACCGGAATCAGCTCCTCCCTCTGATATGCCTCATATTTTGTCTTTTGCCGAATTTAAGAATTACCTTAGTTCATTAGATTAAAGGAGCTGTGTCAAGAAATTCAGTCAAATTAGGAAATTACAATATGCCCTTTAAATTAAGAGAAAAATAAAAATAACCGCTTAAAACTTTAAAGGAAGGTTAAAATAACATGACAGAAAAAACAGATGCCACGGGATGGGCAAAACTGAAGAAGACTGAAGCGGATTGAAATTAGGGTTTTTGAAAACTGTTCAGCCTAACAGTTTTTCAAAGTTGATCCCGGCTGCTTGCAACTTCAAAAATAATGCTCAGGAGACATATATGGTTGTCTCGGATCTCTGATTTTTTCATTTACATGTAATTTCTTTGCTTACTTCAAGTTCCATAGCGATTGAGGGCGAGTAATTGGAAAAATTAAACAAAATGAACTGGACAGAGGTGACACAGCCCCTTTAATAAGGACGTGTAATTTTTGTTTTTATTTTATGTACTCTACTTATTGTTACATGTTATTTTTACTTTTTATCTTGTAAGTGGTTGATGATGATGACGAGGATGATGATGATGATGATGACATTAGACATTAGACACTTAGTTATGATTACTGCAACACAATCAAAATACGATTGCAGCGATTAACGATCAACTCCCGATAAGGATCAAATTTCATGACAATTCATGACTTCTTCAACAGTCCCTAAACAAACTGGCCGTTGTCGATAGGTTGTTTTGGCAGTTGGGGACCTGCTTTAGTGGCCGTTGCCGTTGTAGAGACTTTTAAACAAGAGTCAACGTATGGACTGTCCGCCGAGACAAAGAAACTGGCTGTTGTAAATTGGTGGCCGTTAGTGGAGGTTTGACTGTAATACTCTAATCAAGAGAAGTTATTGCTTAAAAGGTGCTGTATCACACACCCCAAGATGTACTTTAGATAGCGTCTTTTCGACTGTTTCCCGGTAGGCAATGAGGTACACTGGTCACGCAATACTTGCGTCTGTTCGATAAAATAATCAATCGCGAACTTAGTTTAGAAAATCAACCTAGCATTTTTCTTTCACCAAGAAATATTTCCCAGACGGATAGGCATAATTCTGTACCTCACTTTAAGGCCCATGGACTTTGAAGCCCATATCAGGACACTCTCAACGAGTTCCATAGTTTTTCAGTAGATATAGTGATTTAAAGTAATGATTGATAAACGCACCTATGAAAGACAGAGTAGTCTCGTCACCAATTTTCTGGAACTTCCACTCTACTGGCTGAAGAAGAAATCCTTTGGCTCCACATTCAAACGAAACATTGTCTCCTTTGAATCTTTCAAATTCAAGATCCTGTTTTGGCTTATCAAGCCAAGGGGCGACTAAATAGAGGGAAAGCGAGAAACAAACGAGCAAAGTAAATGACTTGACTCTTCCTATGCCTTGCTTTTATGAACTACGTGCAGTGTTCCAGCCAGAAATTTCTGCTTGAGGGCCAAAGTGGCCCCTACGACCCATTTTTGGGGGCCAGTTATTTCAAGAAGGGGCCAATGTACCAGTATCATTCTAATATGCAAAAGAGAAGAAACAGTTGGAAAGTTAAGGAAATGAAAATGGCAGTTTATTTGAAGCCGACATGGAGCATCCTTCTTTATACACAATAGAAGAAATCTTCAATAATAAAGCAAACAGTACAATCAGAATGTATGCAATAAAAATAGTACGTTATTTTTTTTATCTCATTTTCCACTTCACCGTCAAGATCTGTTTCCTTTCGCTTCTTCTGAACTGCTTCGCCTCCATCCACTTTTTCGTTACTTACTGAGAAAAAACTTTCGATAAACCTCGAAGATGCGTTTGTCAGGTTTATCCTTTTTCGAGAAGCGACGATGGATACTCATCAGCTCCTGCGATATTACAAAAGCCAAGTCGAGGCTCAGTGGTCTCCAGACCACTCACGGTAAATCAGGTAAAATCAAGAAGATTCATCGATTGATTTTCATGTTGTGTACAAAGGTACGGAGACGTTGTTCTTTAGATCAAAATTTCTGTTTAATTGGAAAATTATTGTAGTTGAAGTAACAGAGACATTTTTAAGCCCAAGGAATTAAAGAAGAAAAGGGCCATAATGGCCCTTGAACGCTTTTGGTGGGGGCCATCTGTCGATCTTTTGCGGGATTCACGCAATGGCGCACTCTGGCTGGAACACTGTACGTGTAATAATAGTCCGTGGGCCAACAAGTGAATCCCTCCCCCCCTCCCCCAACTCTGGGGAAATTCTGCAGACATATACCGTTTGAAAGCTTAGGGCAAGAAGATTCCAAATGAGTTTGTTTGGAGTTGTTGAGTTGTTGAGTTGCTGGACGTGAATGTACGGTGGCGTTTCTTTCTAGAGCGAAATAGCACAGGGTACGCACGCCATGGATGTTAAAAAAAAATTATCAAAAAACTAAAGCAATGAATAAAGCAACTTCAAATTGTGTCTTCTCTGCAGAAATTTGCATCTGGGCACCGTATATAACCACAAAACGAGGGTACTGCGCATGTCATAAGTTTTAATAGGACAAAACCAAATACCGTTTTGTGAATACAACAAGAACACGCTTACAGCGGCATTCAGGTCTCGCCTGCTTGGAGATTAGATCGAGAAATGAGGAGGCGCTTGATTCTACAAGAAACATGATTTACTCACTAAAGGTTTTTTCTTCCTACTTTATCGACGTCGACACTTTTCATTTGTTTCTGAATTGATCTAGTTCGCGTGATAGCGACGACCAAAAATACCTCTGCGGTAGCAGCCTATACGCGTCTTTAAATACACGAAAATTCAAGGGCCTCGATTCCAGAGAAATTACATCATTGTCAGATATCAAAAAGTGATTTACATGGCACGTCATTTCAATCGCCGAAAATAAATCGTATGCTCATCACAAGACTCATTTGCCTACAGTGAAAGTTTACAACACCCGACCATAGCAATTTTGCTAATTAAGATTATTCTTTTTTTTTTCGACCACTCAGTAGTGTTCACTTGTTCCAAAGTAATCAACGCTTTCAAGCGATAGAATTTGTGGACCGACACGTTTCGAAAAAGCTCTAAATTCTATCTTTCCTAAGCTTTCTTTGCAAAACATGCGTCGCTTCGATCACGCAACGATTCTTGGTCCTAATTTCCACGGTCTCCGCAAGGAAGGCCTGGCACAATGACCTGCCTTTTGTGTCCCAAAAATTCCGGGGGGAATACTTCCAGAAAAATTGGGAGGGGGTGTGCGGCACGCTTCTTGAAACCCTTACCCTATTTCAGACCAAAATCTGTGATTTTCCCTACCCTATTTCAGACCTGATCAAAAATTTGATACCCTATTCCAGACCTGAAGCCCGGGAGCCCGGCGCGTGACCGGAGCGGGTGACAAGCTGTTACGGCACGTACACGGTAGTTGGCGTAAACATTAAAACGGAAATGGTTTTATTGCCAAATGATGAAGAAGTAGCTAATTCTTCTAAAAAAAACATACCCAATTCAAGACTAGAGTGCACAAGCCATACCCTATTTCAGGCCATTATACTACTACATGAGAAATTTCTGCAATTTGATAGGCTTAGAGCAGTGGTATTTTAGGTTAATTTGAAATACCTACATGTGAAAATTACAAAACTATTGCGGGTAGTAGTATAAACAAATAATAGCATGATTAGTACTTGATATTCGGCATAAATATTACTCGTAATATTTCAAAATTGTCTCAAATTTCATGGCTCGTGAAGTTACGTATAACAATTTGGAGATATCAATCGCGGTATTAATGCCAAATATCACTACAAATCATGCTATTACCTATATTATATTATACTACTACATGAGAAATTTCTGCAATTTGATTGGCTGAGGGCAATGGTATTTCAGCTTAATTAAACATTGTTTTGTAACGCAAAATTTGGGATGTGCAAAATGTTTGAAAACCATAATTATTTAAATGCAATGTTGAGAGAGATTGCTTAACGGTAGAACACTCTTCCAACACGACGTCAGGGCTTCTTCTTTGAGAGATGTATGCAGATCTTGACTATTGCTTTAATTAGTATACTAGGTTTTTCCAACCAAAAAATGCCTAACAAGTCAACCCACCCAATACCTTTTAACACGAAATCTAAACCTTTTCTACGCTCTTACCTGGAGTGACACTACTTGTAGTAGCCTGTTGGGAATTCAGGACCCTTGATGAGTTGATATTTTGAGAATTTGTCACGACTGTGGTTGATACGTTTTGATCTGTCAAGATTGGAGTTGACGATATGTTTTGAATTTTCACAACTGGAGTTGATACGTTTTGAGTCATCACTGTCACCTGTTTACTGAGTGGTGTTGTCGACGTGATCCTGATTGTCTCTGTGTGACTGACAGTGGGCGACACAAAAACATACTTTTGACTTGCCGACTGGGCTGAGTAGGTGGAAAGACTTCTCGTTGCGATTTCAGCAGTAATGTAAGCAAATGAAGATGCAAAGGTTGCATATGCCGGCGAGGAAGTGCTTGTGGGACCTAGAAATAATGTCATCAACAAATTAAAAATAATTTGGAAATCAAAGGTAAAAGCGCTCTTTAGGAAAATGAACTCCATTCAGCCAGAGACATTTGAATATAATTGGCTGAGTCGCGAGAAGCTGCATGAGCGGCACACGAATGGAGACACGAGGGCGAGGGGCTCACCGCTCGCTTGCACCTTCTCTAGAATTTGAAGACGAATTTCATTCTCTCTTCCATTGTCCAAAATACTCAATCCCAAGGGACAAATTCTACAATCAAATCCAACGAAATTTAGTCGACTTAAATCAGCTATCTTACACAGAATTAATAATCAAATTGATGAATTCACAGAATTTTTCCGTAAATTCACATTTGTTGAAATTTGTCTTATTATGTAATGATTTAGACACTTGATTAACTGTAGTAACCATTGCATTACATTATCATTGTTTTAAATTGTAACTTTATGTTAAAGCTTTTGCAATACTGTAACTACATAATCATAGTCATGCAAATAAAGCTTATGTTGTCGTTGTTGTTGTTGTTGTTCTAGCGGCTCGCCACAAGATGGAGAGGCCAGGCCAGGCTATTGCTGCAGTGATATCCCCAGCAAGGTTCTCAAACAGTTAGTCCTCGGCTGATACCGATTTCGACAGATGGGTGGAGAGAGAGAGATAAAGGTTGCGTTCCCTTTAGCCAAAACCTTTTTTCGGATTTAGACAATCCAGATTGTTTGTATTTTCGTGGTAGCCGAAACAAAAATCTCAAATAAGATTGATCCATGAGTGGCGGCTTGCTACTCCGATCATCTTCTCAATTTCAACACAACGTGTTTTTTTTACTTCTTTCAGCTAAATTATTAGTAAGTGTCTTCTCGTGGAAAAATGGAAAGAAAAGTAACTCTCTAACTAGTGGTAGTTCATACTGGGACTCGTCAACTTAAAATTATCTGGAATTTGATTCAAGAAAATTGAGAAGATCATTACGAATTCTCAGTGCTGAGAAGCGCGCTCTAAACACACACACACATTGCACACTATCGTGAGGTTTTACGGTAAGAAAATCCAAGCGTTTTCGCTTCCTTGTGGATGAAACTTAAGGCTACTGATATACTACAATCCTTTAGCAGCATAGAACAGAGGACGAGTATAAATAATTTTTGCGTGAACTAACCTTGACCCGCCTTGTTTATTGATAAACGAGCACGTTCTCTGCGATCGAAAAGAAGTTTCGTTAAATAGAACAAAAATCTGAATCCAGATTGAGATACCAATCTGAACGATCCAAGTGAGAAAGTGGATCGTTCAGATTGCAATCTTAGATTGAATTAGTAATGAAACGGAAAATCGAATTTCGGATCGCAAAATCCGGATTTAGATTGGTCAAAAGGAACGCAACTAAAGTAGAGCATTTTCTTTTCCCTAAGAAAACAATCTAATCTAAGGATTGAAATCGGCCTCAATATCTGAGGTCCGTCGTGTTAACCATTTGGCCACTACGCCCTTAACTTAAATAATAAACAGAACTAATAAAACCTAAAGGTAAGGGAGCGCAGGCGAGATCAATCGAAAGTAAAAACTGTCTTGCTTGTAAGCTGAAAAGGGCATGTATTTCTTTTACCAAAAAAATTGAGGGAAATGTTTTCATAAAATTACTTGCTAATGTAATACTTGTATTACTCACTCGGTGTTGATTTCATAAAATCCATGACTTCTTTGATTTTCTGTTTATCGAGCGATACGTTAAATATCCAAATTTGTGAAAGTTTTCCCTTGAAAAGATAACTCAACCATAAATCGTACTCTGTTTGAAGCTCTAAACTTCCAAGGCCAGTTTTGCTTCCCACTTTAATCCCATTAACATAAAGTGTTGCATTTCCTGTCCTGTTGTCAAATGAGCCTGCAATATGGCTCCACTGACTGGACTGCAGTTTCATGTTACTTAGCAAAGAGAACTTGGTGGATTGGTCACGTGAATACAGGTGAAAGACTGGACGTGAGTTTTCAATCGAGATGCTTACGCCATAGTTGGAGTCCTGCCAGTAAGAAATTATTTCACCTCCTGTCCCCTCCGGATACACCCAGGCGAGAAGAGTAATCGAATTCCTACAGAAATATTAATTATTAACACTTCAGAGTTAATATGCATGTGTCCAGTGGAGGAGTTTATAACTGAAGGTTTAGTCGGCAATTAGTTTCCCAAGATGCAACCAGATAGATGAACCAGAAGATAGACATACACTACATTTTAAATTCATGCGCATATGGTTGTATAATTTGTATGTAAGATCTCTAGTAGCAGAGGTCTCTCACAGGAGCGAAAAATGAGAGAAAGGAGACCTCTTCCGGCCGCTGACAAACTGGTTTTAAAACCGGTTTCCTTTAATGCTGAATATGAGTGTCAAGACTGTATAGCAGTATAGGACGCATGTAATTATCCTTTTTTTGCAAGGAATCTCATTAAGGTATCATACACCCTCAAGCACCCTCCCCGCGTTGATCGGCGCTAGCGCTTTTGCTTTTAATAAATACCCCCGTAAACCATACATTTTCTGAAAGCTTAATAGTTCCAGATTATTGCTTATTCCTTTTAAAAATCAAAATATTAACGCGATTCAGAAATGAGAAGCTTTTTGTGGAGGTGGGTGTCACTACAAATTTAAGTCCAGGCCAGCCCAAAATAAACGGGAGAAGCCAGTTAAGATGGCATTCGCTTCTTAACACGTTTGACTAGAAAACCGTGTCTCAGATTTTTGTCAAGTGGGTTTGTTCTTTTGTTATAAGCAGTTGAAGTTAGGGATAGCAAATCATTAGCACTACCTGTGAAAAAATACTCTTACTCGAAAACGAAAAAAGAAATCAAAATTCGCAGACTGTGTTTTTTAGAAAAACTATCTGACAGTAAGTTGGCCAAATTTTAGCCAAATTGGTTCACGGGTTGCCGACTTGGAGTTTAAAACGTACCCTCAACTTGCTCTGATTTTCATTTCGAGAAAACAGGGGAAAAAGATTTTTGGCGGCGTATTACCCGTGACGAGATTATAACAGATTATATCACCAAAGCTGTCAATGTTGATGCATACCAGAAAAGGAACAACGATAGTGACACAGCAGGAAAAGGTTACAAACGAAACGCGACAACAGATGAACAATTTATTTCAAAGGCTCTGCTCTGTTCCATCCTTCTGTTGTCGAGAAAGCACTTTAGTTATTTGCGACGGGCAATTTTCATTATGAGCCAAACCAACTTTCACTCGATACATTTTCTAAAAGTTCGACACTTCCCTGGAAAAATCGACAACAAACCGCTTCCTGGAGTTTTTCTTGAAGCTGCTCTCCCGCTACGATAGACTTTCAAAAAAGTCCTTCGTCCGATTTTTACTATACGTGGCGCGGGACCTGTCGCGAATTTATCGCTCGATTGGCCGTTTCGCAGCCTAAAAAGCTCGCTCCGCTCGCTAAGAAACTCGTGAAACTCGATTTCGCGGTAGTTTCAATGGGTTTTTCAGAAGCTTTGTCATCTTTTAGCCATTTTTCGTGATTGTAGTAGGAGCCCTTGTCCCTCTCTGCTAATTTCGAAGCCCACACTTTGCAAAACGATTTTGTCGTCTTCTTTCGTCTTGGAGTCAAGGACGAAAACGGACAAGCTCTTTTTTCTTCTTTGGAGGCATTCACTTCTAAAATCCATACTTGTAGACCACGATTTCTGTCAAATTGCGTGATTAGCTTGGTTCAACAGCGGCATGCGTATCAAGTACGACAGGACTTGTCAACGATCAATTGAAATAATTAGCGTAGAAAAAACTTTTGCGCTCCATAAGTCTGCACCGGAAAAACATTTTTTAAAAGAAAGTTCTTGATGAGCTCTACTTAAGAGCGACGATCAGGAAATATCGACCATCAAGTGGCAAGAGTTGAAAAATCGATTTCCTTCTTTTTTTGTCCATAAATAGCTTTTAGGTAGATAAGTAATATGACGTAAGTTGTTCTCTCAAAAAGCCTTTTATTTTCGAGAAAAGTAAGAATGTCAGTTTTCGTGGTCGGAGTCTCAAAATGGCCGTATTTTTAACCCGAAATTTGCTAACATCAACTCTCCTCGCGTTCGCATATAAAGCCGCAAGGAGAAATTTGGATACTTTCCATCAATAGGACAACTCTTATTTTTTTACTATTTTTTTACTTCCAAAGCAATATCAAGACTCGTTGAACTGACATAATTCAAAAAAGAAGAACAGGTTTTTACGGTGACAAAAAGTTTAATTTAGTGGCTGTTTTCTGCGGCATTATTCTTCATGTGGTATAGCTCCCAATTTTCCCAGTCCTCGTTTATTCACACATTTAGACATTCATCTAAAGCATACCAGAGAATTGGCTTGGGTTCCAGAAGACAGCCTCCAAACGAAGGCATCGAAGTCCGGTAAATATGGTAAAGCGTGACCAAAATAACTTATTTAACGGCTCCAAGTTTCCCCGATCGTAAATCTTTAGCGAATTAACATTGTTAAAGTACTTACTTTTGGATAAAAAATGAGTACCAGAGTAACAGGGCGTTTGATTTTTTCTTCTTCAAAATACTGTCGGCATCGAAAATGCTACTCTTTCAAGAATTGCGTTAATGCGTTACTACCAAGATTCTGTGACAAGATTCTGTCATTTTGACAGCTCCGTCTCTTCAAACGTACGTTATGTCACGTGCAGTCACGGAACAAACTGTCACGCAGAGTACCCGGCTGGTAGAGCTTAGTGTTTCAAAATGGCTAAAAATTGACCCAGTTTCAACTTTTCACCCCACTCTATGATTGAAAAAAGCAACTTTGCAATGGAAAACCTGCAAGAAGTACGAAAATCGAGCCTTTGGGCTGTATTAAAATATCTACTTTTGTGCGTTTCGAAATTGGAAGTGTTTACACAATTGCCGCCGGCCTACCATGAAAATTCCTGAACTTCGATGGTGTCTTACAAAGATTTCCTTTAATAACCCAAGCCAATTCCGAGGTATGTTTTAATGAATGTCTAAATGTGTGATTTAAATAGCATGAAGAGAATTTGGAGCTTTACCACATATCAAATATTGCGTCGAAAATGAGTAACGAATGGAAGTTTTTGTTATCCTGAAAACCTGTCCCTCATTTTTGAATTATTTCAGTACGATGAGCTTTGCTATTGCCCTGAAAGTATCTTTTAGTGGAAGAAAAAGAATTTTTCTGTTCATGGAAAGTGTCCAAATCTCTCCATGCGGCTTCGTTTGCGAACGCGAGGAAAGTTGATGTTAGCGATTTTCAGGTTGAAAATTAGGGCAGATAAAAGGCTTTTGGCAGGAACAATCTACATTAGGTTTCTTATCTACCTAAAAGCTATCTATGAACAAAAAATGAAAGAAATTGATTTTTCAACTCTTGCCTCGAAATTAAGATTTTGGTCGATTTTTCCTGACCGTCGCTCTTAATCATGTAAAAACTGAAAATTTCGAAAAATGATGATTTTTTTTACCCTGGATGATACCTTAACTTAAACAACTCGTTAACTTCCTCGAAGCTCTTTTTAGCAAAATAACACAACTTTTTGCTTGCCCCACTACCCGTGCTACTCCTCCACAAATTAGTTGTTTACACCCCCCTCCACCACCACCACCACCGCATTTCCGTTGTTTTTCGCCTCCTCCTCCTCCTCCTCCTCTTTTTATTGTAGGTTTAATGGGTCGATGTTAGGCTGGGGTCGGTGGAGGTCTCTGACGCTCATTTCCTCTCGCTAGAAAAGTTATGAATGTGAAAAATATCTATGAAATAAAATTGAGGTGGCAGTGGACCCTCAGATAATGAAATCACCTGGTATCTAGTGCATGGGATGAAGGTAAGCGGATATAACTCGGTGGTGATCGAGTCCCGGAGAATAAATATGAACCACCATTTTCACCATAAACCCCAGTGGAGAGGTGTGCGTTAGCAAGTTGTCCAGGTGGATTTTTAGATAAACTGGAATCATTGGCTGCGGTAGATGACGTCAGAGGATAGTAGCCTACTGCTAGATGAAGTGGCGATCCTGTAATCATAAGAATGTTATCCCTTGTTATTATTCCAGGGTTTTCCTGGATTATAAATGCTAGATATAGTGTTTTTAAGTTAAAGTTATAAGAAATGAATCACATTTTGAACTCCGGATAAAGATGGGAAAGTGGAAATGATCTTCGTAGCAGAATGAACAACCTAAGCGGTTGGAAAAGAACCTGAAAAAATTCCGGCTTGACCTGGAATTGAACCCTGACCTTTGCGACGACTGGACGCAACCCCCGGGGGGGTACTTTAGGAATTTTTGGGTGGAGATGTGCCGATGGGACCCTGGAATCCTTAGCCTATACCAGAGCTAGTTCAAGTGAATTTTGCTACCCTATACTAGAATAAACTCCCAAAATCCTCCCCCCCCCAGAGTAGCTGTTTTGCAGAAACTACTGAGGTCACAAACACAGTCCAGCCAAAACAAAACCGATTTGATTTTTTCATATTTTTGATTGGCAGTTCCCGGTTTCCCTAGTCTATAGACTAAAATCTTCAACCAATTGATCAGTTTCCTGAAAAATGATACCCTATTCTAGACCCAAACTCCCTGATTTATATACCCTATCCCAGAGTATACGTCTTGAAAACCCTACCCTTCACAGCGGCACATACCTATATACATCCACGCATGCATAGCAACAACGACAACAATAACAACAACACCTTCACTTTTACACTCTGATTTTAATGATTATTAACGAATAAAATTAAAATTGCCTTTTGCAATATTTGTGCCAGTTGTATGCTGTTATTCACTTACCATGGCAGTTGTAAACGATTCCAAATAACAACGTTATTATAACTTTCTGCATCTGCAAGAACACATATAAAGATCGATTTAAGTATATAATATATAGATTTAGCCAGGGCTAAAAGCGAGGCTCCCATTAATAAATTATAATTTAAATCAAACAATAAACTTGTATTCCACAATTCAGTTAACTTTAGAGCACATTCGTGTGACTTTTCAGGGAAAGGCTAAGTGATTTTACAAAAAATAATTTGCAAACAGCCCAAGAGTGAACCAAATCTCACATCGAGTTGATAGCCTCATAAGTACACCCAAAAACTGGCAATCATCTTCGATCACATTTATTAAGAGCCATAATGGCTCTTGATCACCGTAGATTAATTAGGCCTGGAAAAAATATTCCGGCCGAATTTTTTGCGTTCGACAAGTTTATTTTACAAAATCTTGCCAACAAATCTGGGTGCATGTAAACCAACCTTTTATATCATTTATACATCACATCTGAGGTGAAACAGTACTATGAGGCGCTGTTTTTATCATACAGACATCGGACAACAGAATGCAGTACTTCACAATATTGCTACAAATTGCTATTCAGGATGATCGAAGCACGCGTGAGCTTTAGCCGTAAACCGTTGAAATCATTTTCAAAATCATCTATACGGCCAGCCGGTTCTGACTTTTACAGTGCTAGCAGTGGCGAGTGTTTGAATGAACATTAACAGAGTTACGTTCCAACATAATAAAGAATTTATTATGTTTATTTTTTATTTTAAAACGGTTTAACGCGCGGCATTTTGAGTACTCCGGGAAGCGTTGTTTACCGAACGACTGAAAACAATCGGCACAACGACTAAAATTACAAGAGGGAGTACTAACAATCAATAAAAGAAATATAATTCGGTGAAACATATACAGAGAAGACAATTTTCATTCAGGAAGACAAGTATTAAAGTGTCTCTAAAAATCCTGAGTCTTCAAGCGTAAAGCTGAAGTTGATGTTTTAAGCCGGCTTCCCGGTGTTTGCTTTTTTCAAAGACGAACTCGAGGCATGAAAATTGCTCAAACCTTTCTTTTGCAGCCAGAATTATAACTAAATATTCTTTGAAACGTTTTCTTTCTATTTGTGGTGAGAAAATGTCTAAAGACTTTTTAAAGATCTGTAAGCTTATAACAAACCTGATACTCGGTCAGATCATTAGAGAGTTTTAGATCCGAGTTTACCGCGAACCTCTAACCGCTGAAGGTCACGTGACAAGTCTTTCGCGTCACGTTTGAGGTTTACGACGTGCGCTTTCAACGTGGGGAGGTAGGTTTTCACGTAGGTCATTTACCTGAAAGCTTTTAGCTTATACATCTTGTTTTATCTCACGTAATGATACAGAAATCTTGTGGAGCAAGTCTTTATCCATTAACAGAGGCACAATTTCGGGCGAAATCCTAAATTTGATAAATCCTATTGGATCTTGAAAACAAGTTCCATTCATGGCGGCTGATTCAAAATGGCGGCCGTAAATTTGCAAGAAGAACTAATGTAAGAATTTACAGCTCTTTGCAGCTAGATAACCAAGTGTTATTCTAAATTTCTTTTATTTTCACTGATTGATATTTCTTCTATTTCTAAATGGAAAAATAAACCAGAATCCACTTCTTTAAACCACCGCCAATCTAAATGGAATTATGTTTGAACTTCGAACCGCAAACGGGTAACCGCAAACCGCGGTTAGAGGTTCGCGGTAAACTCGGATCTAAAACTCTCTATTGTCTCAAATCTTACAAACGTGAGTAAACAAAATAGCCGCATAAACTACGCTCGACTTCATTAAATTAGAAATAAAAAACAAACATTAAATACAATAATTACTTAGGCTTACCACTCGAGATGCAGCTCCTGAAAGGTATCAAGTAGGGCCAGTATCGCTTCAGACTTTGCAACCGTCTTACGCATTAAGCAAGATGAAAACGAAAACGTTGCCATCCGAAATCGGATTTCCGACTTTTACTCAACCAAACACCCAATAAACAAACTAGCCATGAATAACAGAAGACTCCTGATAGCAGCTGAATTTCATTTTGTACATCCAGTGGAAAAAGAAAGTTAAAAACATCACAAGTTGACACAAAACTCTGTCAGCTTCAGATGTTAAAGTAAACAAGATTCAAGATGCTGCATAAATTTTCCGCATGAACTCACCTGTCAAATTTTGACCAATCAGAGCATAAAATTGGACGTAGAGCGTGACCAACGCGTGAACATGGCGAGAAAAGTCAAAAGCAACTGTCTTCCCTGCCTGTAGCAGCTGGCTGAATTTTCGCTTGCGGGGTCAGTTTGAAATCAAAATTTTAATTGTGCGGCACATAAACACAACATATTTCATATGAATTTTTAAAAAAATTAACTTGAGCCTGCGATCATTTGAAAACCAGTACCTTGTCAGCGGATAACTTCACAAAAACACTTGACCTCGATGGGTCGACACCTGAGCCAGCGATACAGTCAAGTGATACTGGTCAGCGGATACCTTGTTTTGACAGCTGTCAATGGATCACAACATTGACGTGTATCAGTTTTCCTGTTTTCCGATCCCAAACTAGCTAGAAAGTATGAGACTGAACATTGATCGCGATCTAGTAAAATAATTAACTGGTCAGCGGACAGCTTCCAAATAAATCACGTCACCTCAATGAGTTGACACATGAACCCGCCATATGGTCATGGGATACTGGTCAGTGGCTATCCTGTTTTGACAGCTGTCAATTGACCATATTGTGAATGTCCAATGTAAAAGATGTGGACTTGGCAAGACACGCCTGAGACACCCCTCCCTTCCTTTTGATGGTCTCCCCTAACAGGAGCCCATCAAATGGAGCCTCCATCTCCATTAATTTCTTGAGTCAACCCTTTCCCGAGTAGATTTATAAATAGAACGGCTTGTTTCCCGCGAAAAGTGGCATATTTCCGTGAGTCTCGTATGTCACCGTGAAAAAAGTGAAGTTGGATGAAGTCGAACTCAGAAGCCCGTCCTTCGACAGTTTTCCTTGTTTACTATACGTCCATTTTTACAGTTTTACAGCCGCTGGGATCTGGGATGAAATAAAAGTTAATGAATTACCCGACTGAGACTGAGCATAAAGCGATGGGACAAAGGCAGCGAACTGAGGATCACGGAAAGGTTCTTTGCGAGTGTTTGATTTTGTTTTTTGCCGTCATACATCCTACATTTAAGCATGCACCTTGAAAAGAGTCGACGATTAAGCGTTCTGTGGACGATTTGGAACTTTTCGATGATCAGCGCCGAAAAAGTGCCAGGATCATTTGATTTTTGTCATCACCGTATAGTGGATTTCGCCAATTAAGCACCGCGTGCAAAGGCGATGACCTAAGTAGCAACTAAGGAGGAATGCTTCAGAAAAATTGCAGTCTTCCTTTACAACTGACTTGTATCACCATAAGAGTTGCCTGATAAAACTGGCACTTGAAAAGTTGAACAGAAGACAAAAGTTGCTCGACCGTGAAGCTAACTCAAAAGCTAACGGTGGAATTTGTGACATCGCGCTCCAGTCCAAAGACCCTCTTATCTCAAGAAAAACAAAATGGATTGTATCTGCGCCAAAAGAATTATGACTGACTAACAGGAGGATTCTCAGCAATTAATGTAGAAGCTTAGGCCAATTCTTTCCTTCGAATTCGCATCTGTAGATCACTTTTTTGCGAGAAAACAATGGCTGGGCTCGGCGTTACAAAACATAGCAGGGAATCATCACACTAACTGACGAACAAAACAACCACAGTATTTATTCAGAAAAACGCATTTCGGAAAAAAACTTGAAGAACTAGAAATTTGATTAATATTGAGTCATTTAGCCGAAATAAGAACCTTAACGCTCAAAAAAATTAGGTAAAGAAAACGAAACCTGTCAGAACTACAGACTGCAGGTAGTAGTTAATCATTACGCACGTAAAAGACCAGCTTCATGGCCTCTTAATGTGAGACAAGCAACCAAAATTAAGATCAAGATAGTTAGAGTTTAAAACTCTCCACAGTATAATCTACCCGCTAGAAAGAAAAGAAAGAAAATCTCTGAGGTCTCTGAGGGATGAAAACTCTAAAGTCACGTTTCACTAGCTTATGATTGTGTTTGGCCTGTCAACACCGAAATTTCCTGCTGTTTCATGAAGTACAATAGCAGTGTCATTTCGCCGTTGTGATTGGCTCTTCCCACCCTCGGCGCGCTAAGTCTCCC